GGTTTTGTTTCACAATCCTCTCCAGGGTGCGGTTATCTCTCTTGCTTGTACACTTTTTTCGACCACATCTTTTCCTTCCCTTCGCCTCTCTATTAATGTGCTTGGACACTGAGCTCTGTGAACAGCCAGCCTCTTTAGCGATGACCTTTTGTGTCTTGCCCTCCTTGTGTAAGGTGTCGATGGTCGTCTTTTGGACAACTGTCAAGTCAGCAGTCTTCCCCATGATTGTGTAGCCTATAGAACTAGACTGAAAGACCATTTAAAGGCTTTTGCAGGTGGTTTGAGTTAATTAGCTGATTAGAGTGTGGCACCAGGGGCCATCAATTTTGAACCTTTTCACAATATTCTAATTTTCTGATATGATGAATTTGAGATTTTCATTTGTTGTCATTTGTAATCATCAAAATTAAACAAAATAAACATCTGAAATATATGAGTTTGTATGTAATGTATGAATATAATATACAAGTTTCACTTTTTAAATGGAATTACTGAAATCAATCTACTTTTTCATGATATTCTAATTTTATGACCAGCACCTGTAAATGTTGTTTGGAAAAGTGGGATGGGTGTAGGTGTGCTGTCAAAATACCACAGAGGAACCAAACCCAGCATATCAGCAAAACGAATCATCATGGTAGAGAAAACATGATGGTTTGGGCTCAGTCCAACTCCAGAACTAATATACCTGAAATCTTGTCAATGGACCTTTAGAGATCTGCGCAGGAAAAAATCCCTACATCTCATTGAACTGAGGTCATGTTCTAAAAACAGCTGAACAGAATTTTTCCACAGTGATGTGAAAGAGTGATTAAGTTATGTAAAAAAAAAAAAAAAAAAAAACTTTAAGTTACAGTTCTATTTTTAGTATTATGTGGTTCCACAACATATTTTTCATAGATAGCTTTTTCTTTTCTATTTATATTAGATTAGGTTGTGTTTTATACACTTAAAGGTATAGTGAAGGATGTTGTTTTTCCTACTGGATCATCAAAATAAGTGTTCCTCCACATTGTCAATCATTCTGGTGATAGAATGATTGAGAATCTGGTAAGTCTAACATACTGGAAAAATTGCAAATCTTCTTTTGGAAAATAAGCTTGTATAAGCGATGAAATGGCTTGATGAAATGGGCTTGTAAATGGGCTTGTGAAAGCTCTCACACGCGTATTATACATGTTCCCTCTCAGGAGCGGATACAGGGTAGTGCATGTGTTTTGTTTTTTTTAAGTGGAGAGGGGAATTCTTTTTAAAAATTCGAGAAAATCCTCCACTATATCTTTAAGACATAAGAATTTTTTAACTTGGTTGAATTGTTTTTTTGGGGGAGATTTTTTGCTTCCATAAATATTTTAAATAGGATGTACTTCATTCCTTGCATTGATTAACAATCATGTAATGATCGACAGAGAGACGGATTTCTTAAATATTGTGATATTAGATAGATTGCAATTGCTATACATAATTGTTTATCTATTTCTCTTTTGTGTCTTTTTTAACACGCTGTGATGACATTCGCCAAAATCTGGCTAACCCTACAATCATGAAAACCAGAGTTGTAAATTTATGATAATCAATAATATTTTTGGCTGTTTTCGTTTACATAACAAGCACAATTACACAAGGATCACATACGATTTCTTCTATTTTAATCAAACTAAATTATGCATCCTTTCTTCCCCTAAGTGCACCTGCCTGAGTCAACCTGTGTTATATCCCATTTCCTCATGCTGTTATTTGTTTCAGAAAACTTTGGTTTGATTCACACCAGTAATATTTAGGAGGCGGAATAAATCTTCCCACTAAGAGGTAGATAATTGGTAGCTTTCATCCCTGCATTGGAAATAATTATTCCAATCTGTGATGTTTCAATAGGAAGTGCGCTTTAGTGTGGTGGGGTTTGAATGATTTATTAGACAAAATGAAATGACACGATAATGACGGTCCTCTCCCGTCGCTTCACCTCATTGCGACTCTTTGTGTTTGCTGTGTTTATTTGTTGGGAAATCTAAAGAGCGCTACCTGGATGACTTTTATTGCTGCAGATTGTGTACCTTTCTGTTTTTTTCACTATGCGCATAAAGATTTTTCCATACCTATCCATCAAGCAACGCAATCAGGAAGGCTTAAAAACAACGAGTGCTGCAACAGATGGTCTGCCTCCCCCTGTGGAGCCTTGATCTCAGCGTCCTGGAGTTGGTGTGATTTTTACACTAAGAGTCAGGTTGACAGTGTTGCACTAAGACATTTCAAGAAACAGAATTAGACATAACTACCGCCTGGAACTTAAATACTGTTTTATTTATCCACAAGAAATAAATAGATCAATAAAAGCAATGTCAAGGAAAAATATTTTCTATTAGCCAACACAAAGTTGAACAATTGCTCAAGAAAAAATGACTATTACATCTTACCTTCAAAATGAATCTTTACATCTTCCCCTCCATCACCTAAATTCCTGATATGTCCTGCAATAAGGTGATCAAATGAGTGAGAAAAATGATTGAAGTAATGATAGAAAATTGCAGACTTCACACTTTGCAGGTAGAGTGGGTAGTTTTTTAAGTGTTTCATGAGACGCAAGAAGTCAGATGAGATGAGAGAGGCTGTCCATGTACCTTTTATAAGGCCTGGTGTGTGTGCATCTAGTCCACCTTCTATAGTCACTGTCTTAAGCAATGTCCAAGGTATTTTGGTCTATATTTCCACATTAAACATTGGCTGATAATATCTGTTTGTTATCTGTAGTGTTCACTTAGCTTTTAAAGATTTTCAACTGCTCAATTTCTAAAATAGAAATGTATTGTGCTTATGACTACAATGAAGGTCAAACACACTATGTATGGTCTGTTGCGGGTAAGCTGTCTCTATAGCAACTTAAAATCGTTAAGAAATTCTGATGCTTTCCTTGTTCAGTACTAGGCATTGGCTGGTTGGAAAATCTGATGATAAAGTAAGCAAACCTTAAAGCTGAAGTCTGTAAGTTTTTAAAAATCACTTTTTTGTCATATTGGCTAAAACTGTCCCTATGCCCAGACAGCAGTACATGTGATATGTAACCTGTGAAAAAAACTGCTTCAATTGGTACCGCCTACTGCCTGTATTTCAATCTGGAAAGAATAATTCGGGACGACTCAAAACAACCAATCACAGCCAGAGGAGCGTCTGATGGAGTGTCAATCACAGCTCACACACGCTGAATCCCCCCCCCCCCCCCCCTTCTGGTTGCATGCGGTAGCCGGAGCTTGGAGGTGGGGCATGAGTGAAGCAGAGAGGGTGGGGGAGTGACGTGAAACCTGTTTTTCTTCAAATTTTCAGTCGAAGTCTGCTCTTTTCTCAATGTTACAGACTGCAGCTTTAAGTAAAGGTTTAACTTTAACTTCATATAAATTATAACTTATACAATAATCTCATTGCTTTGACTTTAAAATAGACACTAGTACCACTGATTGTAACAGAATTAAGCATATTGATTAAGAAACAACTTGAAATAAAACCTGAAAATGAACTTGTAATTTTTGAGTAAATCTATTAACCAGAATATTTAACATTACTGACATTATGCTCTTTACAAGAAGCTTATATAAGCTGCGTAAATAATCTGCTCATGTAGCTAGATTACAGTTAGCTACTTTACAGGCATGCTGACATTAATACATGTAAGGATGTGTTATTATGTTCCATACAGCATAAGTGGAGAAAACTCTGCAGTACATTCCAGTGGTTTCTCTGACATGTCATTAAAATAACTCTCAATCATACAAGGTATTAAGGAAAAACATCTGACGATTTAAACTGTTAATTTTTTTAAATCTTCAAATATCAAAAGGTGCCAAAATAAAGGCATTCAACTATACAAAGATCAAAATGATAATTTAGGGAAATATTGACAATATGGCTGTATATATATATATTTTTAATATTATTAGTTTTCTTGGTTTTGGGACACATACTCATAGGAAGAAAAAATAAAAAGCTGTTTTAACCAACTAATGTAGGAGGTTTTAAATCATAAAAATATTTGTTCCCTCTTTTTCTGTATCTCTGTTTCTTTTCTTTTTCTCTTAGCGTCAACTCATGTGGCTTTACGTAGCACAGACACTTGTCTGAAAGGATGTTTATAAGATCTTTAATCTCCAAACTTCCCCTTAACTGTCACGGAGGCCAGTGTTTATTCCTTTCTACTCATATTTTTATTTTCTGGCTCTAATCACAGAAAATCTCTAGCCTGTTATGGCCATACTCAGTTGTCTGGCAGTCTTTGCCTGTAGACATTTGTAGGCCTGCATGGGTGTGATCAGGTGTCAGAGGAACAGCATAACAGTGATCCACAGATGGCTGTCACTCAGTCCAATCAAATCATGGCCTCTTAGACACTTAATTTTTCTTGCCAATGAATGTGGGACTTTTTTTTAAAATAGAAAATTGACTGTAATCTTTAATTTAAGCCATCACTTGACCCTCTGCTTGTTGCCTCTGTGACTGACCCTTTTAAAATACAGTAAATCTTACAGCCCTTATGTTTCCATAATACACTGTTTTCTAATCTCCCACCTTAATGCCATAACAATGAAATGTGTATTTTCTCACTGGAAAGCTAACAAGCCTGCAGCTCTTTATGTGTGATCACTCCCGGAGGGGTGGCTGTGTTGTTGCTTATCCTCCCACTCAAACAACTCTTGTCCAATCAGCCCACACGCTTCAGCGAAGGGTGGAGAACCTGCATATGTCCTTGTGTCAAACCTTTCGATTGCAGGTCCTCTCATCTTTTATTGAATTTTTATTTCTTTTTTATTTCTGTTTTATTTCTGTTTATATATACACAGTCTTATTCTGCACAAACAAACCAAGCGTGCTCCACAGTGAAGCCACCTGCGCATTTCTTTTTTTTCTTTCTTGTTATTTTATATAATTCTACAATTTTTTGTGAAAATCTTAAACTTGCATTGGAATGGAAACATGGCATGACATATTTTTATCATTGTTGTCGTTTTCTGCAGCTTTGAGTAGAGCTCCCATCCCCATGGCCGTGGTGAGACGGGAGCTGTCCTGCGAGAGCTACCCCATCGAGCTACGCTGCCCAGGCACAGACGTTATCATGATTGAGAGCGCCAACTATGGCCGCACGGATGACAAGATCTGTGATGCAGACCCAGCGCAGATGGAGAACACGCGGTGTTATCTTCCAGATGCATACAAGATCATGTCACAAAGGTAAATACACAACGAGATGAATTAAAGCTCTAACCCTGCCATTTAAACCAACGGAAGATGCAAACTTAGCTTTAGTTCCATTTTGGTGAGAGAATTGTGTCATATTTTATTTTCATTATACCTCAAGTTTGTAAGACTAACAATGTTTGCAGTGATAAAAATTTAAAGATGACCATAATCACTTATAGTCAGCGTTGTATCTTGAAGTAGGGGTTTTGGGTTGGTCATTGATGGCACCATCACTACCAAACCCCTCATAATTATTGTTTCTTAATACAGTAATGAACCAGAATAAATAAGTAATACAATAACAAACAGCTAATAATCTTTTGAAAACGGCCTTGAAGATTAACCTTAAATCAGGTAAACAAAAAAGCTTGTTTCCTATTAGAAGGACTGTGTACACAAAATGACTAATAAATGGTGCTTTATTAAGTTCAAGAAGCTCAAAGTGCATTCCTTCACAGTGGGTTGCAAGCTACTGTATATATATATTTTTTTTTACTTTATTGATCTCACAGTGGAGAAATTAACTCTTTCTGCATTTAACCCATCCCCTTGGTATGGGCTCCCGGGTGGAGAGCAGTGTGGGGTTAAGGTTCTTGCTCAGAGAGCCAGAATGGAGGAAGGAACCAGGTACTTGCACCCTTCTGAGAGCACAAGCACACTGCTCTATCCCACTAGGCCAAAACTCCCCTACAATATTATAGCCACATCTACTCTGTGGCGGTCTGACAGAAGCGTATTAGCTATAAAGTTGGTGCTACTGTACCTTCTGACCACCAGCAGTAGAAAAGACAGGCAAAGTTGTTGTTTCCTTGAAGTATTAGATTCTCTGCATCCTGAGCCACCATGGCCCAGAAAAGCCATAATCTACTGTAGATTAAACATGGATTTATGCAAAACAACCACTGCATTTTACTGTCATGTAGCAAGAACATAACCAGAAGGTTTAAAGTAATACAACAAAAGGCTATGGCCTTGAGTTTGAGCTAAATGCTAGATTTGTTTTTCTGTTTGAATGTTTTTGTATTTTGGTCTCACATTTGGAATAAGTTTAATATGTAAGAGTTTCTGTTGCTTTATTTTCCTCTAACCCACAAAAAAAAACCTTAATTCATACAAAACCTTTCACTATGTTACACTTATTGCACATAAAGAGATTTTATTAAACTTAGGGGTTACTCCTCCAGGCAAAAATATATACCAGATAATATCTTTATGAAAAGCACTGACATCCTTTGTTCAGCAGTTCATTTATTTTTCCGCATTCCACAATGCAAAGCATACGTGGCTGCAGGAAGAGGTCAACCTCAGAGCATAAGTCTGCTCTGTGAGACTAAGGTCAGATAAAGCTCACAGCATAAACAAAAGTTTGAATTTTTTTTGTAACCAACACCATTTTTAAGCTCACATCTACACAAATATCACCATACTTCAGTACGGTCACATTCCCTGTGAGGGATTTTCATAGTTACTTTTAGTTTTAAACTTACCGATGTTTGCATATCTATGAAAACAGAAGTACAGCTGACTACAGCAACAATAATCTAATCAGTAGCTGCAAATTCATACTATATGACTAAATGAGTTATGATGGTTAATGATTTTGATTCAAAAATCTGAAAGCTGAGAGTTGTGGTGATTTCTTGAGTTTAGTCTGAGAGTAATCAGCCCTGGGTGTGGCTAGTGAAACTGAACCCATCTTTCCAAAGAATTTGCTTAATCAAAGCAATTCCATGTGTTAACAAAGTACGCAAATTGTCTCTCCATGGGCTGAGCTGATGTGCACAGTATTTATCCTTAATAAATGAAATCTGCTTTTTATATTTATTCAGTCTACGCTCATTTATATGGTTGCAATTAGGTCTTTCAGATGATGGTGTCTGCAGTAGAAATAGGGATAATAAACATGGTGATATTTGGGACTAATTCCGACCTTATGAGTGTGCGTGCACTTGTGCATAATTTGTTTCATGCTGCTCAGTAATCAACTTGTGGGTATTTTCTTGTAAAAAAAAAACTTGTAAAGCAGGTAGAAAATAACATCTTGGGATGGCTAAATCGCAGTTAAAATCAATTCAGTTGACATTAATTCCATGTCAGCATGATTTGTAATGGATTAGTTGACCATATTGAGTTTTAAGTACAAACCTTTACAGAAATCATTATATGTGGTATATAGGGCGGCAACTAACGATTATATTGCAAATCGATTAGTCTGTAAATTATTATATCGATTAACAATCGAATGGCAAAAGGTTTGTTAAAGAACACTTTTTGCTAAATTAAACCAGGTTGAAACTAAACTTTTCCACTTGAGGAGTTCTGGATAGAGCATATTGACATACGAATGAGATTTCTTATCTGAAATAAAAAAATGTTTACTTTTTTTTCAAATTTGGTATAATTACTGCTCTAAGTGGGTTGCTCTGTCAGCTAAAGGCACATTTTAGAGTCTCAATACTACAGTTAGCGATTTATTGATTACTAAGTTAGTTGGCGATTATTTCAATAATTGATTACTCACAATTAATCTGATTAATTGTTTCAGCCATATTGGTATGCTTTATTTTTAGTGTTTATAGCACAGAATCGTATTATCCATTAAAAAACTCTATTTCCAAAAACGTAATCACTCCTGTTTGATTGCTGGTCATAATTTCTTTTAACACATATCAATTATCATTTGCAGTTATTGGTCAAAAGATAGTTGCATGAGTTTTTCTGGATGGATCAGAGCTCTGTTTTAAGAATTAAACCCCCTTTAAGCCAAAGCTGCAACACCAACACTTATTTGTCTAGATCTCTACAATGAAGTCTAACTAAGTTCCCTTTTTGTTTTGTAATTTATTGCTAACATAGGGTGATATATATGCTTGTTTTGGAGCTTTAACTAGGCTTGAATTTTAGAAAATATGGCACTCCAGGGGCAGCAAATATTGAGTGCACATGTAATCCGCAGGAACTATTCTGTTGACATATGAGGGCATTAAGAGCAGAATCAAAGCTCCATGCTGAGATCTTTCTAAACATGGATACGTCTTGCTTTGAGGTCAGAACACCCTTGAGAAATGTGAAGGGGCAGGCTTTATCTTAATTGCTCTTCTAAATTGACTTTTTCTAGCTCGCTTTATTTCCAAAAGCTAAACATATGTCCGCTTTCTTTTATTTCTGGAGCTTTAGTTCCACTATGGACCTGCCCCTCTGAGGAAAATACTAATGGACTTTAGGCTCTATCAAACAATTGCTCTTTGGTTTTCAGTTTGGTACCATAGAGTTCAGATAATCACCCGTGTGAAAAGCAGTGGATAGTTAAAAGGGGTAGTTTGAAACAAGTTGTCACATAATTGATGCACCCTGTTGCTCCTTTTTTTCTCTCCTGGCTGCCCACTCACACTGAAAAATCCTGGCTGGGATGAATCAAAGGGTCTAAAGGGAACATAAAACACAGAGAAGAAGTCTGTCTTTTTAGCATTTCATTGCTAGCAGGGGCGTTTAAACGATGCTCGGAGATAAGTACGCGCCGATTCAGAGCCAGAACACTTTTTCTTGGCGGAGGAAGTGGATGAAGGGTGTGGGTGTTGTGAATTGAAAATGTATAAGGAAGAGGAGTCAGGATCAGGTGAGAGGATTCAATGATAATAATTGCTGCAGTGACTCTGCTTCACATTAGTATGTGAAGGTTAGCACAACGAATGAGCGCCACCTACCACGACCTTTTTACTGTCGGGCTGCCGATGCATTTGCTCCGCATCACAGCTCGTTAAGAACAGAGAAAATGATTTAAACAGAGAAAAATTTTGTTTTTAAGATTTATTTTTGACCAAAGATACATTCTCTTTGTAAATTAAACATTCCAGCCAGAGCTGCTTCCTTTATAAACCATAGAGTTAAAAAACAAAACCCAGCAGAATAATGACATAAAGGTCTATGTCTCTGTCTCTTTAAAATATGAAGTTTATGAAAAGCATTATTAAAAAAATGACAAGTTTTTTTATTTATTTAATGCACCTGGTTCACTAAGGTCATATTTTTGCAGAAAGAATCCACAGGGAAATTGTGGCTTTTTAATAAAGCTTTTATTTTTTATGCTGAGACACATTTTATGGAGTTCAGATTTCTTTTTTAAGAACTATTGTTTCATGGGATTGGTTAAAAATATACTTTCAGATATGGAATGATCTGTCTAGTTCAGTGCCTTGAGTTAACATAAGTTGTAAATTGTTACTATATAAATGAGCTGTATTATAATTAACTATACATTGTGACACATTATCTTTTTTTCCAACCTTCCTTCCTGAATAGTAATTGAATTGAAATAAAAGCTGATGTTACACCATGCATGTTTTAGGCTCCATCCATAAGATTTGAATTAGGTATCAGCACAGAAAAGGCTTAACGCTACAGCTGGTATTCCTACTCACAGACTTGTTTGTTCTACTGGGTGACATTTTACTTGCATCCTAGACATTACATACATTATATATTCAAAAAAAGGAAATTAAAAAATCTGAACTGTGTGAGCTGCAGGTCTGTAAAAACTCCTACCAATCTTTTCCATTTGGACTGAATGGAAAGAAGTCTGCCTGGTGGAAAAAATATGATTAAAAGCACAGTAGCAGAAATCACATGACTTTCACCCCTTGGCACATTTCTTGACGAGATATACAAAATGTCATTATTTTTTTTTTTTTTTGCTTTTTGTTTAGTATATTTATTTTAATTTATCAAAGTTTAACAATAAACATAAAACAATTGAAGCTATGTTTGACAGCAAATTCTTTCTGGTGGGTTACTTACTTATTTCTCTTTGCTTTTTCACTTAATGAGCAAAACAAAGACTCCTTTAACTTTGACTGAAGTGTGTAAACACTTTAATGAGCATTCCTGTTCGGGATTTGGTTTTGCCACCTACTTTCATGATCCCTAATGTAGACACACAAAAACCATAACAGTAAATTAGCATGATTAAAGTATAGGAATGGTTTAAAGTACCC